ATACTACATTCATATGTATACTAATTTTATGAAAAATATGAAACATTAGAATAAGATAAGTTAATGGCATTAATGGTATGTGTTATGATTTCAATTTGTTTATATACATAACTTTAACTGCAATTACAATTGATAATAAACACGCACACATACGTTCACACGTACGTTCCATGACGGGATGAAATACGTAAAGATGTTACAATCCTTATGGTAATCGTTATTGCATTAGTCCAAAACACAAAATATGAATGAACATTTATCATTTACCGAAAATGCAACATTCTGTGTAACTAATACAATATGATCACAGCTAATATATACATTTGAAAGAAGGTAGTGAAATCTTGTTTCACATGAGCATCCCAATTTATAAAAAAAACCCATATATTTCTTCATTAGCATTTTCGCCTAAAATGTTGAAGCTGTGTTAGTACAAAACATTCTTTGAACATTATATGATATTTATACTAAAATTAAAACAAATTCATAGGAAATAATGCAAGTAATTTGTTTTGATGAGGAAAGCAAGTTGTTGGAGTATAATAAAAAGAGCAGTAGCGCTGTACTTTATGAATCCCAATGGGAAAATTTATATTCAAATAACAATATAATATGCTTCCGATCAAACAGGTCCTCGACTAATAAACAATTTGCATAGAGGCAATTTTTAAACGTGTTATATGATGGATAATATGTTAATTATATACATATGCATATTGAAAAAAACGTCATCATTTATAGTAATAAGGGCATTAACAAATCACATGTAGAAATAACGAAATATTTACAAATATCAATTCATAATTTCTTCACGCATAGCTAATATATACATTTGAAAGAAGGTAGAGAGCGAAAGTTTATGTTCAAGCCCTGCACACGTTATATACATATGTTTTGATATTTACAAAAAATAATACTAGATAGTAAATTACAGAGATTTTCTGGAAGGTATTCTTATAAAGTTTGAGGGCAATAACCAGCTTTTTATACAAAAAATATGTACACAATTCATAATCATGGAAATAATGGCTAACGAAAAGTATATACAATGTACAACCAAATATTCTAAACAGTTGTCCCGTATTTAACTTCAGTGCTGTTATACTTTTCTGATCGATCCTTCATGATCGCCACATTTAGTGTTAAAGATTAGATACAGAATCAGCCGGTTTTAAGGGTGTGAAGGATGTCTCAATGCCCCTATTATCCCTCATAAACAGATCTAGACTTAATCCATACAAGTCTGCAATTCTCATGTAATTTTGTTATCTTTTGTTATCTTAATTGTTTCCGAGGGATCAACCTTTTTTCCAGATTTTCAAGAGAACAGCATAATTAAAACAAGATGACCAAACAATAACCACGACAAAATCTTAAGAAGTCATACATATGTTATATGTGTATAAAATATTCCTTAAACTAAAAATCATATCTAATAACAAAAAGTAAGTTATCAAAAAATGGTATCTAAAATATGTACAGAATGGATTGAAAACATTTTTCTTCATCAAAATAAAGTAATTGACTAGTTTAAAGGCATTTGTGGCTAATAACAACAACATAAATAATTAAAAAAATATACAAGAACGTTTCTAAAAAATATATATAACAACACTCATGGTAATATACGTATATGAAGGGTGTCTGAACTATAAAGTTTATAGGACAAATATAAGTATTAAACCTCCCATTCTTCATTAACAAACGATTGGTATTATAAATGTAAGGGTCATGTCAACATCTTAAATTGAATTATGTACAAAGTTATATACCAGCTTGACTTTTTCTCATGATTCCAACACAATGTAAAAAATAACAAATAACATACAAAGGAAGATGCTTTGTGAGACCTTTTCACTTAATCTCATATTGAAATACCAATTATGACAGAGCAACATATCTAAAGGTTTTATTGAGAGGAAATATTCACAAAAAAGTAATTTAAGAACAAAAACATTCTACGTTATAAATATCTTTTTGAGTATTTCAACAGTCCTTATGATACAAATATATACATTTCATTTTAATGTCACTATTTCAACACTATTTACATAATGATTAACATGTGTCATGAAAAAGAAATTGACTTAATTCATAAAAACAACATATATACATGCTTTAGTACAAGCGCCATTGAAATCGAGCCACTCGACCCGTCTTAGTTTACTCAATATAATTGGGAGACCCATTTAGAGCTCATATAGTTCATTATAAACTCGGTTTGGACGAGCCTCTTTGAGGTTTCATTTCCAGTAGAGCTGTTATTCTAAGCAAGGCAATAAAAACTGTTTAAAGTTACAAACATCTTGCTTTCGGACAATATGATGATCTCTTTATCATTTCGAAAATCACTTCCAGATACCTAGACAAAATAAAAGAACAGCAGGAAATACATTAAAAGTTTCACTTCTTGAGCTTAATGATAACCGTACATTATAAAACTGATATTAACATTTGTAATCGAAATTGTAATTCCGAGGTAAAGTAACCGGCAGATTCTGAAAAAAGACATAAAATCGCTATTGGAATAGGTCGCAGGTCTAGTAGAAATTAGTTTCTTACTCAAAGATTCTATTGATTCACATGTACATAATTCACCTATCATATAGGAAAAAAATTAATGTACTGAAAGCAACATTAAATTGCAGTGACTCTTACCTTATTTCATTCAATAACCCAAAAATTACAGTTTAAGACACCTTGTGAAATGAAGTGTCATGCCGAAAAGCACTCAATCAGATAATAACAACAAATTTGTGATCTCTTAAACATCAGTGGTCTCAAATAAAGAAGAAAACAAAGAATTTGGACTGAATCTTGCGGTCTTAAAAATGAATAAGAGGGGTGGTCTTAATTCTGGATCATGTAATCATTGCCATTAAGAACAGAAAATTTCGTCTGTTACTCGTCCAATGAAAGTTTATATGATATGACGACTTCGCATGAGAGATCCTATATATACGTTGTATTAATGGTACGTACTGTACTGTTTATTAGATTATGGCTTTGTCACTTTGAGTGTGAACATTGAGTGTCTTACTTCTGTAATCTTAAAAGCTAAAAAGTTAAAAGGTAGACAAACAGTATCATAATAAAGAGCTAGAAGAGGTCGCATAGCGTGTATTACAGTAACGACAGTATCTTCAAAGGATAGGTTTGAGGCTTGATTGAGTATACATGCGTGACTAACTTAAATCTTATACAAATTTTATTCTAATCTTAAATGAGAATTGATGTAATTAAAGTCAAATTTTTATATGGTCAAAATAAATTAACAATAAATTGGTAAAATATCAAGGTAGATGTAATAAATTATAATGTAATTTTAATAATTCACATGCATGCAAGTTTTATTATGATAGCAACTTTATGCATATCTTGTAAATAAAAAAAATCTAAACAAATTATCACTACACCATCTGTAAATGAAAAACACCATATGAATATATTTATGATTAAAAGTTGTACTTACATTTTACTTTTGTCATTTACACTAATATTTTTTTCAGTTTAGAAACGATTCTCTTCCTTTTGTCTTTAGTGCTGCTTGCAACATTTTTATCTTTCTGTTCTCGAATTAATCTGCTCATCCTCTGGTCACTTTGCCTTTTGTTCTAATATTTTAATATAACACTTTATTAAATTATTAAATTATGGTACAAAATGTTTGCATAAATATCTAATAACCTATTACAAACCCATGTTTTTTCTTATCAAGCTACACATATATAGTTATGGAAATATAAACAGTTTTTGAAAACATGTGAAATAGGATTTTCCGATTTTTAGCAACATATCTAGATTGTTTATTGTACTTTGATTAATTTAGAAAAGCTTAGAATATGCAAATCTTTCCCTGCAATACGCTCTTAAATTTTGAGGCGACAACAGACACTTTCCGTGGTACTACCATAAATTTCATTTAAACCAACTTATTTAAGAAATAATTGTTATCTATTTCAATTTGGTGCTTTAAATATCTTTTATCTTCATAAAAAAAACATATTAAAAAATGCTTTTGTAAATAATTAATTTTTAACAAAAATTCTATAATTTTAAATCGTCATATCAAAGTCACTTTTACTTCTTTGTCACCAAAAGTTTGGAATACAGTAAAAACTCTGAAAACCGGACCCTCTGAAAACCGGAATCCTCTTAAAACCGGAACATTTTAAAACTCACGTATTTTCTCCCTATATGTTCATTGAAAAAAATCCTCTGAATACCGGAACCTCTGAATTCCGAAAACCGGACGATTTTCTATGGTTTCTAATGCTAAACATGCATAAAAAATCCTCTAAAAACCGGACAGCAATTTAAAATGTCAACTTTCTGTGTACTTTAATGTAGATTTAAACATAATCTCAACAGGTGACATGTTCAAATACCAGGTAATGGTAATTTCCTTTTATCTATGCAGGTGTGAAAACACTTGTCAGTGTATGTTAATTTCTTATTGTCAATTAAATTATAGCTCTTTCATCATATTTGTGTCTTACTCGTGTTTTAATTTCTGATTTTCTTAATTATATTCATGGATTTGCATAATAAAATAACTTAAGACATTTATTGCATAAAGAACTTAAAATATGACTTAGGCAAAAGGGTTAAAATGTAAATACAAAATGAAGAAAGTCATTGCTCAAACACATCATAATTATCAATGAATGTATAAAACCTCTGAAAACCGGAATCCTCTGAAAACCGGACTTTTGGTCAAGTCCGCACAAGGTCCGGTTTTCAGAGTTATTCACGAATATATGGAACTACCGATTCCCCCTTTGAGACTCAACTGGGGGGGGGGGCGAAGTGTAATTGATAATTGACACATTTCGCGCAAAGCAGTTAAAAATTGAATAGGTACCGTTTTAAAACAAACGTTTAAAAACTAACTGCTTTCAAAATTAAATCACGAATGTGTTCAGAAAAGGTTAATACAACTGCTGAGCAAAAATCTCATTTTAGGTAATTTTAGTGATAATTGACTAAGTTGTCGCCTTAATATTCTGAAAATTCGAAATACAAAAAAGTTCATTAAATCATCATGTAATTTAATATATAAATTAAAATGGTATCAAGCTTTATCTAATGAAAATTTCGATAAAATTTATAAATTTCAAAATATAATGCATCTAAGTCATGATTTAATCATGCGCCATTCGCTTTTTGTAAATTTCTTTCATATTGAAATATTCTTTTTTAATTAAAACAATCCTTATGTTTGAACAGCAATCAGCATATATACAGCTTAAAATCTTTAAACACCATTTTACGCCCATATAATTTGTTTAATAATTCTCTAAATCAATACAAACTGTAGATGATTCATCATGACTACTACTTACTACTAACATCATCTTTAATCAAGCAAATTAATAAGGTTAATCTCTTACCCTTATTTCATCAGTTAGGATGAAGACTATATCACGCACATGGCTAACCATCACATTTTGTGGAATCAATAATTCGATCTTCCTTTTGTCCTCCAATATATACATAGAAGGTGGCCAAAATGAGGCATCAGAAAGGTATGTTAAAAGCTGTTGGTCTGGCTCTAATCTATTCATTGACATGCATCTGTATACGAACAACTTAATTGCCTTAACAGTTATTTCAGCTTGTGCTATATCATTACATGGCATTTTCTCAAAATGTTGTTTCATATCAGGCTCTAATGGGATACAAAATCTTTCAGCAAGGCCATCAAGGAGTGGAAAAGCACATTTTTCTTCCAAAAGTTCATGTAATGATATAATATGACTTATTTTGACACAACTCTCTGGGTTTGGGAGACACTCTTTTGGAAACGGACGACATATTATACTGCTTTTCTTCTCAGCAAAATCAACCAATGTCATTCCCTCGGTAGTTAATTTTGTTTTTCTGAGGAGTGTCATAAGCATATCTAAATAGTGTATTAAGTTCAGTGCAGACGTATTACTCTTTTGTATGCTCTCAATAATCAATGTTTCTGTATCAAGCGGAAGTGGTTCTTGCTTTGTAGACAGACGGATATCTTCAACTAACGCAGAAAACTGTCTGTACATATGGTCAATAAATATAATTTTAGGTAAAGTGTCTATGTTTAAATGCAGTTTTCCAACAAGAATTTTCGCTACAACTTCTTGCTCAATATGATCAAAATCGTAAATGACATTACCAACTGTCCCATATCCTAATTCACTGTATGCCCAATTATCCATCGCGTCTGCTAATTCGGTTGTCATATCAATAAAATGACATTGTCTAGTATCAGTAACAGATATAGTATGAACAGCTGCAACGTTGTTTCCTCTCCAAAGCATATCTAAATTAGAACTGTTAAATTTCAAAGCAAGAGCATAATCCAAGACGTTATTTTGTATATTGACTAGGCTTGATAAAATTTCAAATAATAACGAATGCTCATCAATGACAAGACATTCTGAGAGTATGCTTTGGGAATTGATATGACTTATTTTTGGTAAAATATCGGTATGCTTTGAAATGTCTGAAAGCTCATTCCAAGAATCTCTGAATGCTTCAAAACGTTTTTTAACAACTTGTTGGTTTCTCATTTCTTTGAATGAATCCAGGAAATTTATAACTTTGACGGAAGAACATTCGTAGCTTTTCATCATGTAGCAAGTATTTGCTACAGTTATCATATGCCACTGGATAAGGTTATATATGTGTTTTGGCAATGTCAGCAAAAAATTGTCTGTGATTACTAACTGAAGAAAATGATGCGAGTTTTCCTGCTTTAATTTGTACAGCAAATGAGAAGTGTCTGGTGGAATCTCTTTCCTGAAAAGGCCCGGTAATGTTTCAATACGTTTTCTCGTGTCCATCGTTGATATATCATCAGCTTCCCTGATTTGAAATTCAATACAGTCGGTTGAAATCTCGGGAAGTTCTTTATATGAACGAATAAAATCAAGCATTCCTTTACTGCCATTTTTGATGATATCTTGAACAATTTTTTCAAATTTACTTTCAAAGATTTTTCTTTCATTTGGCGTTTCTAAATTTGAATGAGGAAAAAAAAGTAAATTTTGAGAACGGTGCATGATATGTAACAGGAAAGAGCTGACATAAAAATCGTCGCAATTGATCATTGTTGAAATATGCTTCCAGTGTGCTTTTATTTGTTCATGCAGGTTTGAACAATCCGTTTTTTCTAGCTTACAAGCTGAAATAAAGTTATCTTTAGCACAAAATCTTAGTGTAAATGACCCAAGTATATTACATTTTATAAGAAATTGCAAAATATGTTTCGATAATGGGGAAATGTTACGAATTCTTGTAAAAACGTCATCGTCGTGGTTATCTTGAACGAAACCTTTTGTTTCAATAAAATTTGAAGCTCCGGGAAGGTTTTTAGATTTGAGTTCAGATTGCACAGTTTGGTTGCAAACAGGACATACATATGTAGTAGCTTTTTCATTGAACGCCAGTCTCAGTTCACAACTTCTACATTCAGAGAAAATGACGTCAGGGATATTTGTATGGTAAGGAAAGAGTTGACGTTGTTTTTGTCTCATTTTATCTAAAAATCCAGGTATATAACATGAAGCCAAAGAACATGGATTCGTCAAGCATTTGGTCATGAAAATCTTTTCTTCTTCAGGATTGCTTACAGACAAAGCATACAAGGAGCCAATAACTAATAATTGAAAATATTCCTTTGAACTTATTTGTTTGCCTTCCGTCAATGTAAACGATTTAGTGATCATCCTAGATCGGTCCAGAAGGGCTTCCACTACAACAAAATATTTGTCTGAAAATTTCATATGCTGAATTTCTTTCAGCGTTTCATCTTTCTTTCTCTTTTCAGTATCTGTAAGGGACCCTCGCAGTGTTTTTAAGAAAAATATATGTATTAGGGAAGACATTATTGAAATCAAGTACTCAAACGTCAGAGTGTGAGGTTTTTCTTTGAGTAACAACTGAATATCCCTTTTACTGTGTTCAGTAAAAAAAACTGCTAATGGGTTCATATCCAGCGTATTATTTATGCTTTTGTCATTCAAATTTATATGTCCAATACTTTTAATTTTCTGTGCATAACGTTTAAGACGTATAATCACTTCATATTGAGGTACATTAAAAGATATTTCTTTCAACAGATATACCTTCAATGTATTGCAAATGTCTTTTTCTGCCAGTCCTACGAACATTAAATCCAAGGAATTAATGATTTCTTGATTAACCTCTGAGTACTCGTCAAAGATGCTTGGAAGTTTGCTAATGGCTGTTTTAAGAAACGAGAAAGATGCAACGCTTTTCAAACCACCAACTTCAACTTGAAGAGTAGAAACACAATCTAAAATAAGTTGTGGGTACTCTTTGTCTTCTATTTCAAGGAATATTCTTTTCAAAAGATCTGTTATCAAAATGCAAAATGGACTATCTCCCCTTTTTCTAAGCTCTTGGATTAAACATTTATCAAGTAGTGATAAAAAATTTCTTTCAGATTCATTAATTTTCGCACCTGAATAACTGTTCCACTTTTCTCCGGGCACGACCAAGTTTGAAAGGCCATAGTCAGTATTTTCTAACTGAAGAAATATGAATAGCGGACACCTAAAATGGCCGATTTGGCTGTCTGGAATTGTGGATTGTTGTATCAGGTCAAACAGAAAGCAATAAACCAGAGTTTGGCTATTTGTCTGAAGACACCTAATGAGATACTGTGAAATTATAACATGTCTTTTCTCTGTAGACGTGCATTCTAGTTGATATCTTCGAACATAATCTTCCTCGATTTGAAATAACGTGCTTATTGTTTCGCTTGTTGATTCAGAATCTAATCTATTTGTAGTTAGTATGTCACCGAGGCGTCCCAGTATATCTTTGGGCATCTTATCATTCAAGTGTAAAAACACGTCATCACAAAACCTTAGCACAAAAAGTAGATGTGGCTCAGGCGAAATATATGGAGCAATTGCAAAAATAGTTTTTAATCTGAAATGCCAAAGTGAAAGGTCTCCTTGTTTAAGTAGATACGTTGTTGATGGGATATAGTAGCGACATGATTCAGCTAAGAATTGATAAAAGGGATCAGGAGAGTTTAAATCCCCATCAAATTCATCACTGCCCGTTGCCACGGAAAAATTGGTCTCTTCGGACGTTGACAATTTACTCGATTCTGATTGCAAAGAATTGTCGTCTTCAATAAGAGACATAAAAAACATGTGATCCGCTTCACTATACGAGGCGTCAAGAAATTGTAGAATAGCTCTGAACATGTTTTGATTTGTCCAGAAAGTTATGTGAAGTCTTGCAAAAACGTCTGAATAATCAGACTTACAACTCATTTTTTTCTGTATTGCCCATTTCATGTATTGCATAGACATCTGATTGGCATCTGAATTGGCAGTAACACCTGCAGTAAAAGACACTAAAGTACAAAAGTCTGATATGTAATCTTCTTTCATATTTCTGTACTCTAATTTTTGAATATATGGAATAGTTCCAAATATGTAATGTTCAAGTTGATATACTAGTTCATTCATGACATCATCTGGAAGAATATCGTCATCATGTATTTCAGACTGTGACCGAAGTTTTGACATATCCTCTATAAAATAATCGCGCTTGGCTTCTATAGTTTCAAAGATCACTTGGCTAAATGGCATACTCAACGATCTATGAACTCTTTCACATATGTAACAGCAAGGTCCAAACCCATCTTGTAGTTCTGCTATCGAAACAATTCTATCACTTTCGAACAAATACTCCCACAAACGCTGTCTGTCACACTGATAATCATCTTTCGCGAAGTAGCTGTGTAATGCACCTTTTGATTCTAGTAGAAATATGAATTTTGACAGCGGATGTTTGATGGCATCTAATATAAACCTGTTAAGTGCTTCGGTAAAATTTGTAGACGTTTTTAGTGCTGTAACGTCAGATGCGACTTGTGTTTGCCACTTAAAATTGATAGCATCTTTACATCTGTTCTTTATGTCTGCAAATATCCGCTTTTCAAGACAAAAAAGAAAGGGATTTGATTTCTTCAGCATGTCAACTAAGTTTCCTATCTCTTCATTTTGACGCCCAGAACTACCGTAGCGAATCTTAGTAAATGCCCAAAATAATTCTTTTTTCAAAATAGGAGATAAAGGTTGTTTGTTTTCTATAACCTTTAGTAAACTTGTTTTGCATAAGTATAGCAGGTCAGGCTCCAATGAATCCATCATAACCATTTTCCATCCGGAGAGAAAGTTAATTTCCTCGAGAACACTTGAGTCTTCTCCTACAAGATGAATAACAAGATAAATATGTTTCTTTATACTTGAAGATTTCTTCTCAATCCATTCAGAGCTATAACGTTCCATTATATTCTTACATAACATTATATTACTCGCATCTTCTTTACCACTGCACTGCAGAAACAATATTTCGGAACTTGAGCTCTCCCAAAACGACTGAATTTTCGCCCTCAATTGTTTTTCAGACTTAAATGTTTGTAGCTTTTCAAATTGGATGTCCCATTTGCTAAAATAATGTTCTACTTTTGAAGAGATATTACTATATGTGAAAACAATTGATCTGTTCAAATGATTTTCATCCAATATTTGATCTCTTTCAAACTCTACATATTTAGCTATTCCTTCATGTATAGGTAGAGCAAAGTACTCTTTATTTATTTTATCAGACTGATGCTGTATGTCAATATCTACAGCTTTTGACAACCGTACAATCGCTTCTGGTCGAAAAAGCCACAACATTTCTTCTTTACATCGACTTTTGAAGTATTTTGTCTTGGAAGTAAGTCTTCTTTGTTTCAATACTAACGTCTTCATAAGTGCATTGTTGTAAATTGGAAGAATATCCTTCTTTTCGAAAGATTTGCCAATTATTGTGCACATGTTGTCTAACCAGTTATCAAGTTCTGTGGCAACATCTTTGTCGTCCTTACTCAATAGGTTATCATATGTTATATACTGCTTTTCAAATCTATTCAAGAAAGGCGGATCGGCATAATCAAGCTTCCGTTCATCAACAATAACAATACATCGGAATGAATCAAAAACATATGCAAAAGGGTTGCTATAGGGCCCAAGAGCAACTCGACAATAGCTATTATGCTTACCAATTCTAGTATAGTTTTGATTCAGCATATCGTACAAACTGCCATATATTTTCTCTAAATTCTTTAAAATCAGAACTACCCCTTGCTCCATACACATGATAATTCTATTAAGTATTCTATAATTATAGTCGTCTGTTAAATCTTCTTCAAAATGACTTCCAAATATCAATTCTGTGTTTTTGCGACCTGATTTATTTAAAATAGATTCCAAACTCGCAATCATTGAGTCACTTTTTGTAATTAACATAAGGTGTCTTGCAGATATATCGATCACATTATCAGAGATAAGATCACTGATTGTTTTCATTTTCGGTAATTCACATCTGAAGCAATCTCGAAAATGAAACATTAAAGTTCCACGTTCTGCGGGAAGACCGCCAAAGTTTCTTTGTAATCCTTCCAAAATCACACCTGCTTCTTCTCTAGAGGAAAGTGTAAACCTTCCCTTAGCAAATGCTCTTGTTACGAATTTTACCAATGCATAAAAGTCTCGAAGTCCAAAAAAGCTTTTGAATTTCAATGTCTTGGTGTACGATTTGTAAGATTTTGCAATGTTGTGGAGTAATATCTCCATGTTTTTGGTCAAATTTACATCATTTATTGGCACTTGTAAACTTTGACATTTTTCAACATCTTTAGTTAAAGATTCACTAATCGAAATGCCTGTTTCTTTCAATTCATCTATGTCCATATCTGGCCTCGAAACATGTACCGCCCTATTCATTTTTGATGCATCAAGTGCCCAATTAGATATTCCAACCACTGCAACATTGGGCAATCCTCCTCGTGCAGGTTCAAGTAAGTTATGAAGAATTTTCAATGGATTAAACTGTGATATTTCTGCTAAGCCAATTTCGTCCAGGATCACAACAGACAATATGTTATCATCTGTAAATGTTTTTTGGTATTGTTCTGCTTTTTCAAATACCTTTTTTATCCCATCTGATGTTGAAGATTCTGTACCTTGGAAAGAGACACAATACAGTTGGGGTAGTGTCTTGAAAAACGGATCAGTTGAATCTTCCCCTCTCAAATTACTTCGAATAAGTTGAATAGCTAAGGATTTGCTACAGCCTGGTTTACCCACCAGGAAAATAGGAATCTTGTTTAAAATACATACAAACAACATGAATACATTTTCTCTAAGAGCTGTATTTTTTGCAATTCCAGCAGGAACATTCATTCTTTCAAGAATATCGTTTTGCTCAGTCTTCATAACATCATAAATGTATTCCTCTGTGAAACTTGGATAATTATACTGTAAAAATACTGACGCTAGCATCTTTCGGTAATCTGTTCTTTGATTTCGTCCGGAAAAACGACAATGATAACAATGTGTCAAAGAAAGAATGGTTGCATTTTCTAAAATCTGTACTTTATCCATCTTCAAACTTACTTGCTTCTGAGGAATTATGCCAGTAAACCATTTGATAAGCACCTTGCAACGATAAACATCTCTCAAACTGACAGCAAATTCAGACTTTTCAGATTCTCTAACAAACTTCTGAGAACTGGCTATTAGTTCAGTGAGCAAATTACTTTTTTCCTTTGTAAATACATCATTCGTCATTCTTTGAATATACATTCTTTCATCAGTATCAGATAAATATCCAAAGTCCCAAACATAATCAAGCATTGATTCTGTTAAAGGATGAACTCTATAAACAAGTTTTGATAAACTATCAAATTTCAACTTTCCTTTTAGTCCAGTTGCCTTCATTTGAGATTCCGATTTCATCTTATATGGATTACAAGCTCCGATAATTACTAAATTTGGAGCAAGTATGGTACCATTGCACTGTTTATGACATATGATATCGGATATCATTCCTATATGCTCTGTTGTATTTACTTCATCAAGAAATAACCATCGCTGTAACGTATGATCTTCACAACATTTCTTGTGCATAAAAAAGACTGTTTTCTCAATTTCTTCAGACGCTAACCCAGCATGGATACGCAATTCACTGAATGGTATTTTGCAAATAAGTGAAAGATATTTCACTAGAGTTGTTTTACCACATCCAGTTTCTCCCATCAATAATACAGGTACTTGTGCATTTATCCTCATTAGTGTAATCACCATTTTAAGAACATTGTCGGGAGTTAAAACATAATCCTCAGGCAGTTCTTGACTCTCGTGAGACATTCCGTGCCCAACTTTTTGTACAACTTCTCGCAGTTCTTCCTGACTCATTTTCATATAATCGTTAAGTTTTTCATTCATTTGATTTTCAAAAAACTCTCGCAACTGGAATCGTACTTTTGAAATGTCCCGATACAGCACGTTTACCGATCTTGCGTCATGATGGAGATAGAAGATGAGGTGATTACTACTTTGCCACTGTATCATCTCATCCGTCCTTTTGACAGAATAGTCAGATGACTGCAGCTTTTCTTTACTCGACACTTGCAGGTATCTACATGTCGCAACTGACCGCGTTGAAAATTCTTTCGCTGTATTCATCATCATTTCTACTACAGTACTTCGTATGTTATTATCTCTTTTGTCACCAATCATATCAGCAATATGAATATTCCTAAAGAAAGGACTTGCTGAAAGTCTTTTAAGTTGATCTGATAATACATTTAAAAAAATGTAAATGGTATTGAAGGACGTGTCCTTAGTAAGCGGATAAGCATTTTCTAATAAACCTCGACATTCATCAGTACTAATGGGCTGAATGTTTGCATGTCTAGAAAAATGAATTTCATTCTTGTCAGTTTCTTTCAGTTTTAGTCGTCTCAGATAATGACAAACAACTTGTAGAGGACTATTTATCTCTAAGCTTGGTGTAAAACTTTGATACGAATCAAATGTTAAATGTTTTCTTTGAAACAAAGTGGCAATTGTTAAAGAGTCAATTAACTCATTATTTATAGAATTTGCGATTTCGATTGCAATATGTTTTGTGTTGAGAAAGAATGATCCTTTATCATCGGAAATATACTGGAGAAGTATTAACTCTGACAAAAAAAGATCAAGCTCATCTGGTTTGCTAACTAGGCTAATATCAAGGTGGAGAACTTGGTTTGATTTCATTCTCATATTTTGTAGCATTTCAATTCCCTTTCTTCTGCTGAACGGTCCGCTTATATGTAACGTTCTCGTAGTTAAACTGTTTGATAATGATGTTTGATATATAGTTGATGTTTTACCAAGTCCTGCTAATTCAGAGCTGTATGTGCATACATTTGGTTCTATTTTCCTGAGAATCACTCTTGTTTCCTCATCTGTGAGTGGTCTAACTGTTTCCATTTCGTCTCTTTTGTTCATTTCGAAAAGATTTTTAGACCTCTTGCAAATAATGGAAAGTAGAAAATTATCTTCTGCAGAGACATTATTGATAGCTTGAGCAAGTTTGTCTTGAATACTTCGCTCTAAATTTTCAACGCTAACAAGACAGAACAAAGGCGTTTCGTCATAAAATGTATATGCCCCAAAACATCGCGCAAGTAGTAAATGAACCTCTTCCCATCTTGTACTGCGCCGGCATATCAACAGTTGGTGAGTTTCTGGAAGCGTCTGAGTCGTATTTCTATACAAAGCAAGAACTGTCTGAAAAACGGATCTTGCCTGGTCTCCTACATTTATGATTCTTACATGACCTTTGTGAACTATGTCGGACATCCTTGATGTTGATGCTTCAATTGGAAATGATCTTGTAAATCTTTTAATTCCCTGATGCGCAGTATGTAAGACATGGCCTATATTTCTTATAACCAATCTGTTTTCAATTTCCACTTTATCGTATATATTACGAATCTTTTTGTCTGCTTTAATGAGAGGATGAATAGATTTTAGAATAGTTTCTGCAGTATATCCACCTTTACCATTCCTTAAGAAATCATATAAAGCGTGAATCTCAAAACCCTGAACAAAATTTAAAAGATAAAATCTGTTCCGCTCATTTTCTAGTTCATTGGACCATTCGCTTAATTTTGTTTCAAGGTTGCATTTTAATTGTTGAAGCTCTGAAACATTTTCATCTAATTCATTACCCGTATACAGTATATGGCCTAAAACTAAAAGCTGTGACAGAATGTCCTTTATGTCCATACAAAGATTAATGGAATTGATAAATAATTCAAGTTCCGCTCGATCCTCTCGATTGAAACTGTATGTTTGTGTGTTCCATTCTGCGTTCTTTAGTAACAATGCACGACTTCTATAATCTATTAATGTTGATTCATCTTTTTTTTTGATGATTTTAACACCACTTTTTGCAGTTTCATCTTCATAAATAGAATAGAAACAAACTTGTCTCTCTTCTTTGAATATGACAAATTTTACTTTGCTTTTCCTAATAAAGTTTGACACTACTTCCTTCGTTTGCTCACCGCGATTACATACTCTGTTATATAAAGATTTTAAATTATGGAAATTACGATTACAGTCATCTATTTTTAAATGCAATTCTTTTGCATAAGTTCCTAAATTCATTATTTGTGTTTCTATTGTTTCAAAAAGCTTATCGATATTCAGCTTTTCATTCCCAAGATAAACGAGTAATGGGTGCACAAAACGTTTTACTTCATTTAAAGCAGAAACAGTTCGACCTTGTATATGTTGCTCCGAAATATATTCCACTGCATCTATCAAAGTTCTTATATCCGCATCAGCAATGTCAGCAAGGAATTGTAGCAAGTTAAATGATTCTCCAAGAACGGTCATAACGCTAACTGTAACTTCATTTAATTTATCTGCCCGGTTAGATATTGATTCGAGGAGGGACTGGAACTCGTGAAAGGTGCAGTGAAGTAAATTATCGTCTTTAAACAATTCTTTAAATTGTTTTATGTTTCTAATAAAATCGTCATCATTGTCTTTGTTACGGTTAAACACACTGTAAACGGACTTCATAGCATCAACTTTTTTATTTATATCATCTAATTTATATAGATTTTTCAAACATCTTTTTGTTGAAGATGAAATCTTTACGTTCAAGCCTTGTTCATACAAACGTATTTCTTTTGACCCTTTAAACATCAAATTTACTTCCCAGATCCTCAGATCAGTATCTTCATCATCAAGTCTAAGCCATCCGGACTGAAATATTTGCATTCCTTCTTCTTTTAAAAACTGTAAAAGCATCTCAACTTTTAGAGTTTGTCCGTTTTCGTCTATTTCAAGAGCTGCAAAAAATTCATCGATAATATGTTTGCCAAGGTTCCAAAACGTTTCTGATTTGATACATTCATCGATCTCCTTACATAGACCGAGTGTATTCTTATTGCAACCAAGCATTACAGCAATTTCGTCCTCGTTACATTCATCAGAGGTCAACTCCCCTTGCGATATTCTTCTCAATATGTCGTCAGATTTTTCCTTCAGTCGAGTTGTTTGTAATATTAGCATTTTTCGTTCCAATAATACATCAACGACGTCGCTGAGACTGCTCATTTCTTTTATTGCATTATCGAAAATTTTCATTGCAGAGTTAATTTGATGTTTAATGGCATGTTCACAGTTCCCATTTAACTGCAGTAATTTAATAGAATTTTCACTTTGCTTAAAATGCTTTAGCAATATCTTATTAACTTTTAACTCAAACAGTTTTTTAACATGTCCTGTTATGCAGGCCATTGACTCCTTATATGTTGTATCATCTTTCACGTGATGTTGATATTTACCCGTTACACCTTTAATGGCTTTTAGAAATTCAACTTGTTTTTCCAAGGCAATGAAGTAGTCCTCATCAGTTTGGTCAGATTGTTTTACCAGAAAGTGTTTCATCATGGCGCAAATTATATCAGCAGCAATCCTAAGTATCAAAATAAACACTTTAAATTAGATATGCAATGGAAAAATGGTAATACTGGACAGCTTTACACGTTTAGTAAACCGCGTGAAGGTCAATTTATTTTTATCAGCATTAAAGACAACGGTTACCACAAAAGATTATCTGTACCTCAGCGTTTCTTTCATGTTTCCTATGATACCAGTTCTGGTTTTGTTCGAAGGGCAGGAACCTGGCCCAAAAGTAATATAGTAATAATAAAAACGTGCATGGTTTACAAAATACCGTAGGTAGTTGTAACGCAGTGGTAAATGGCAAGTTAACAAAGTTTCACCGTTGACAAAGTTTCACTGTTGAATCATATGTTATTTGAGATGTATCAAGAGCTTATATTCCTGCTTACGTGGTCTACAGTATTATTATCTGTAACAAGTAGGCACAAACTCTGCTACTCTCCACCGAGCAGGATACAAGATCCTATTGTGGAAACTGCCATTTAAATACATATCAAGAGCACCCAAACAGTATAAAGTTGGTATATGGGAGCTATTCCCCAATGAAGTTTAAAAATGATATAATTTGAACCTTTTGCACCATAGCCGGGGCAAATAAAGAAATATAAATTAAGCATGACAGCAATAACTCCAAAATTATGACGCGGAGATTCTAAATTATTTTCATTCCTTCTTACTGTGATCTTTTAGCTAAAGAAGTGTCGGAAAATATGTAATACCTCTAAAGCTTTATGAGTTTATAAACAAACATCATGCAAGAAATGAAACAAATGGAAATAGCTTAACTAAAATGAATGACGTGATTAGTACACTGCACTCCAGTGTGATCAATCCACTCATAAAAAGTTAGATAGTTATTTAAAACACTTTTCGTGTTATGTTCTAGACAAAAATTCAACTTTAAAAATAATTAAGGGAAATAATTAGAAAATAAAAAAGCAGGATAGTATTAAATGACATGTTGTTGCAAATTTACTAGCTGTACCACATAATTTGAAAAAAGGATTAGAAAAAATATAATTCCGACCACAAACGAGAAAAATAAATGGTATATTGTAATTATGTTATTTAAACTCTATATTAAGGCGACAACAGACGCTTTCAGTGGTACTACCATAAATGTCATTTGAACCAAGTTATTTTAGTAATAATTGTCATTTATTTAATTTTTGTGCATTAAATGTCTTTGATCTTCATAAAAATATCATATTTGAAAAAAATGCCTTTGTAAATATTTGATTTTGATAAAAATTCTACAATTTTAAATCGTCATTTCAAAGTCATTTTTCATATTTTGTCATCAAACTCTTGGAATATAAACATAATTATAATATCTGGGGGACCCTGTCTCAGATTTTTTCTATCTTTTCTAAAAAAAATATTAAGTAACGTCAATTAATTTATGCGACTTTTTTCACCATACATATTACGTAATTAAAGATTATTAAGTCTCTGATTGAGCAAACAGAAAACCCTGACACGGATCCCTCCGCAATTGAATTCCCTTTCAAGTGCTTTAAACCGCATGTAAATTGCTTGTTTATTTAAAAAAAAAGTTATGCCGATTCAAAGTTTGTCCGATGCGCATCAAACGAAGTGTCATAAATCGGCTGTTCTCTCTCAGACCCCTACGTTTTCCGTTATATTATTGTATAACACGCAAATATCACACCAAAGGGGGTGACACGATACGGTAACATATACTCTAACAACTTTTATGACCCAGTGACATCTGACCAATTAAAAAGCAGCTGATTGATTTGAGGCTCTCAGTGGGATAAAATGGACGTTCATGTTGCTATCGGGTAATCATATTGTTTCACTTTTGATGTTATTATTAATATCTAGCATCATCGTCATTATTATTTTAATATTATATCAGTGTCACTCTGCCTGTGTATTCGTGTATGAAATTCCGTTAAAATGTAAATTAAAATTATTATAACGAAAAACTGTGCTTCTGACAGACTTTAAAGTCTATGCATGGTACGTTGTACAAATAAGAACGAGGTATTATATATTTTTGTCCGATCAGTTCATATAAATGCTTGACATAATTTAATAGAAATAAATTAGGTATTTCTCTATCAATATGATCTGACGTTCTTGACTTTTATTATCCCGAATTATCTATGCACGGCATACATAGATTCAGTTTCTTCTTGGACATATAAATTGTTTTCGATTTACTAGTGAACAGTATATTCAAACCGTTCACTGAAAATACATTTTAATATCTTTTTCATTTATTCATAAAGAATTAATCATCCGAAGACTATCGTAAAAATATTTTAGAAATTTGTAAGGGACACCTGACCACCTGTCATATATAGGCGTTCACATAAAAGTGTTGTCTGTTTTTTTGAGATTGTTAGAAAACGAAGTTGCATGCAAAGTAAGCTTTTGAATCCGTACAGAAACACAATATATTGTATATCAGATTACGGGGATAAAGGCAGTAACATTGTTTTAACCATCCCATTGTCGTGCGATTTACCGCTATGCTAAATTATTTGTTAAATCTTGGCCGAAAATTTCTTAATTTACAAAATGGCTACTAAATGGTAGACGATACAATGTTGAAATATTCATAAAAGATGTACAGTATTTTAATGATACATGTATTACGAGTAATATCGACTAATAACAAATAAACCGGTAATTCATGGATATATGAAACTACCGATTTCCCTCATTGATGCCTCAACAGGGGCGGCGCGTAATCGATAATTGACAGGTTACGCGCACAGCGAATTAAATTGGAATAGGTATCGTTTTTAAACGTTTAAAAACATAGTTTCTGGACTAACTGTTTCCAAAATTAAATAACGAATGTATTCAGAAAAGGTTAATAAATCTACTTAGCAAAAAATCTCATTTTAGATATTTGTATTGATAATTGACTCCGTTGTCACCTTAAATCATTTCTTCAATCGTCTTGTATATATTTTTATACAATTTGAAATACAATAAGCCAGGATGGCCTACTAAAACATAGTCGAAGGTTTGGAGGGATGCTTCTTTTTTCTTTTCATTTTTTTTTTGTTTAAGGCTTATTGATATTTTCAGCTGTGGTAGCCACCTTAATCAACAGACCTTAATTTTGTAAAGACAATAATTATCATTGCCGTCCAGTTTAATGGAAACCTGCGAGTGGTTGAGGGGGAATTGTAACTTTTTTATAGGGTTAACGCACGTTTTTTCGTGTTATAACGTCTGCAGAGTCCCGAGGAACGGTTGGTGCCCGAGCCCGGTAGGGCGAGGGCTCCAACAGTTCCGAGGGACTCTGCAGACTTTATAACACGAAATAAACGTGCGTTGACGCTATTATAGCAAACAATTTTTAAAAAAAAATCATGATGTATATTTAATACAAAACACATACATTAAATCCTTGTGCTTGGACGGTATTTATCCAATTCTACATGTTTTACGTATGCGTTTTATTTTTCCCCGGCCAACTCCTTGGGAAATACAAATGCTCAGAACCGTTCGAAAATTCGAATTTTAATTGATTTAACAAAGCTTAACATTGGAGACTCAAGAATAAAAAAACATTCAATTACTCTGCCCAAGACAAAACATGACCTAATGATTTCAGATTGACGGTAGAAAAAAGATCATTGACATCAGTTCTAATCGTTTTGTTTTTTCAAGCTCACAAGTTTATACAAGAATATCAGGCACTAAACATTATTCTCTCAAAGAAATATAAAGAGCATTTATCAATATAAACATCAATAAAACAACATTTTCTCATATTCATTTTGTGTTATCTTGTTTTGTAAGTTAATTTGAAGGTTAAACTGAATGACATTTATTTGTTTACATTGACAACTGTCCGTTTCTTAGAAAGGGCGACAACCAAGATTAATGGCGATGTCTATACACCGTATTTCCGTCATAGTTACATGAATGCTGCTCTTCGTTATGCGATTGCTCAACGCCATCGAATCAATAATTTCAATATAACACTTTGGCAAACAGGCCAAATCGTCATTTTTTTTGTTTGTTTACTGGGCCCTTTATGTATTGCGCATAGGTAAGACCGGGCTATAACAAGAGCGCGTGACTATGTTAACACATGGTTTTGGTCCCGTTATAACATGGGCAAAAAAGGGAAAAATAGCCGATTTTATGCTATAATCTATATTAGCTCTGATGCTCATCTTGTTTAACGGACCGTAACCATTTAAACAATTTTATAAAGGATCATGTAGATAGTTTAATTACTAATACTAAACGTTTAAGTAGGAGATATTGTTTAAGTGAAAACTTAAGCAACGTACGACGGACACCGGATATTGGGAAATCACACTTGCCAAACTTAAGTACTTTCTGATGAGCTACAAATGCTGTTTTTCAATGAGTCAGGTTTCCTTTAATAAATACTTTAAATCTTTAATGTCTTGAATGTGAATGTATCTTGATGGTAATATAAATCTAATCATTGAATGGAAATTATCAGTTATGTCAATTTATGGAAAATGTTTGTAATGTTATAAAATAGAATTGGAAAAAAACATTAGCTTATTCATTAAGTCACGTGTATTGTCTTTACAACTCTTAAGAACTTTTTAAATTGGAAAACCAATTTTTACCAATGTTTTGCTTTGAAGTGACCTTTCAGGTTTGCTTTAAAACAATTTAATTCAAAGTTGAACTAGCTGATAGACTGACTGAATAGTCTGGATTTAAACGGATAGGTGCCCTAGAGTGGATTGGTGTCCTTAAGATATTAAAACAAAATTTCTAGATTCATATAATTTTCAGTTTATAAACATATATGACATTTGAAAACATAATTGGATAGTTTAAGTATGGTGATAAAATTCCATGGCATTGTTTCTATGTCGAGCTGATATAAATTTGTTTCAAGTAAGCTAACAGAAACTGGCTGAATTCACAGAAACAATATTAAGTTCGTGTTCTATTTTTGCGAAATATTGTACTCCTTAATACCCACAAGTCTATTGAATATATTGCTGATACTTTCATACCCTATAATTTCAACCGTACGAGTTAATTGTTTTTATGAGATTGAAATACATGTATACATATACAAGGGTTGTCCAACAGAATTGCCGCTGTGAAACAAAAATATAATGTCACAGGCTTATGATAAATTTTCATCTAAAGTGAATCTCCATTAAATTGAAGAAGAACAAGTTCATACATGTTCTTTATATTAAATTATTAGTTCAGATATGAGGTGTGCGTATGCGTCCCATGCATGAAAATTGACAAACCTAACACATTATATTAAAAACAGAGTAATTAGTCGACGTCGTTAAAAATATGTCTTATACGTTGACGCTAACATTTACCATTTGTTTTACATAAATTTCAAGGACATCGCAAGACATATGTATTTACAATGCTAGTATAATGAAATGGCGGCGTTTGCCGTTAACGTGATCTAGCAGATGGTTTTATCGTTTCCTGCTTTTAGTGCTGAATGACACGGCTGTGTTAAAAAAGTTATAAACTGAAGAAAATTTCTAGAATGCTTTTCTATAATAAGTATACAAGAGTCATAAAAAAGATTTTCAGTTGACCAAAGATTAAAGAGCTATATTTTGATGGCCAAAGCCAAGAGGTCAGGAACAGTGAAGAAAATTGAAAACACCGTTATTGAGGACAAGCTTTAAACATTTCTAAAAATATCAGTATAGAAAAAAATGACTGAGAACTTTAAAAGACAATTCCTGTTGACCGTTATAAGCAGGTAGCTTGGCATAAAGATTGTATCATAAACAGGTCACAAAGTTGATCCACTGAAAAGGGAAATATGACATTTTATTTTTTTGCTTTTCAGTGGATTACTGATTTATCCGTGAAAATTATATTTGATAATTTCACAGTGAAAATTATCAAAATATAATTTCACACTTTTCAATGACGAAACTACTTTTTTAAGATTTTCCCCATGTGGCACCTCAATTTTATTTTTGCTGACTATTCCGATAATGTCAGGCTGTTTAAAGAAAAGCAAAGCTGAAATTGACAAATAACTTATATGTCACAAGTAATAAAAAGAAGAAAACTTACAGTAAGTAACTTCTATTCATTCAAATTTCCAATCCCAAAATATCGTCTCTTTAATTTTTTGTTTCATTTTTACAGTCTGAAAAATACATTCCTTCCACATGCAAAACTGCTCTTGATGACATTTGGGAATATTTAAGTATCCTACGAGCAATAACTGCCGTATGCTTTATGAAAACTTGAAAAGCATTAGCAGCTTTCAGTCGAAGAATATGTAAACAACCCAGCGTTCGTAAGGCTTCCGAGTTCTCCAATTTCCTATCCACTTTTTTGAATGTTTACACATCTGTCAACACTTATTTATTGTCTGTTACAATCCACAAATAAAGTTTCTTTCTTTTAAAAAGGTGTATGACTAACAAATCCAAATGATATCCCTCTGAATCAAACACAATTATTTTCATCCAGTGAAATACACAACTTTAAAAATGGCGACCGCTTACATTTAACATAGCCAGGTCTAATATAAATTCGCAGTCAGTAACAGAAATATGGATGGATGGTTGGACTTTTTCTCCTACTAGAATTGTTTGTTTTTATTATTTAAACAAGCCAGCAGACACATTTTTTTAATAAAATGAATACTATCGCCACCATTTAAAGTTGATTGTGGAACTTGTTTTTCAGCCCATGACTTCTTGTATTTAGTGAGAAATTCGACTTTTTTGAGGCTCTAAATGGGGAAAACAGATTTTAATATTAACGTAAATATTAAGGAAATTTCGTTTTAACTTGTTTTTAAGCATAAAATAAAAAGAAAATTTGTTTGTTTGTTGCTACGCCACTCGTGAGAATACTGTTTTTAAAGCCCACTCGATGAAATAAAATTTCATCTTACACACAAACAAACACATATCCTCTATATAACATTGGAATATGGTCCGCACTGCGTTTTAAGTTAGTCTTATACATTTATCTGTATAAACTGCAAATATGATATCTTTCTGGAATAATAGTAAAACTATTAAAGTCTGTTGAATATTTTGTTCAAACGCTAAGGCAAATGACCTATTGGAACAACCCACGTGTGTAGTATTTCTAAACAGAAAATAGAAAGGGAACGAACCTGTAATCTGCAATGAGCTTCCTTTCTGTACCGATCATCTTCGCCAATAGTTCAAAGGAACTGACATCAATACGATTGATATTCTTTTCAATACTTCTTATCAAAAGGTTTGAAACTTCACCATTTCCCTCACAAAAGTGCCAAACTGTTTGCAGATTTTGGAAAATGACTTCCAGAGGCAGTCTTTGAAGATCCTCCATACTTATATCCACAACTAACGATTCAACATCATTTCTTTCGATATAATGTGTAAGTTCTGTTATGTCAATGAAACGTTGAAGAATATGTGCCAAATCAGGTTGTCCCTGTTTTGGATAGCGTTCTAGCCAATCTTTATATTTACTCAAATTCAGTTTGGAGTAGCATTCACGAATGCGTTCACATCGAAATAATTCTATGAACAAATTGAAAATGAGTTTATTGTCAGAGTCAATGACCATGTTTAAAAGTGCATCTTGTTGCTTAAACGTTGAAAAACAATTAGTTTTTTCAATGAGAGATTCAAAGTTTCTGGAAATATCCTGCGGCACATACAAATGAACATACCCAAATCTTTCGATAATTGCATTTTCAAACATTTCGCAGAATTCTGATTTTTCGGCAAACCTTTCCCTGAAGAAAACCAGCGACAGTTCAATAATTGCCTCTAAATCCCTTTTACATTTCTTTATTGAGCGATTTATGACATATTTCACCTTTTCTTTTAGCTTTAAATCAATGTCTTTCTCATCTATTGTACAGGATGCATTCGCAGGCATTTTTAGTTTGTCATAAACAAAGACAACGGATTCAGGTTTAATGGATTCTAAGATGAAGAAAATCCCCTCTACTTTAGATTCGCTTTCTTCTTCTTGCTCGAAAAAAGCGTCATACCATTTCACACATAATTGAGAACAACATTCATTGTGATAATTGCCTTCCGAAATTACTGTTGACAGTTCCTGCAATTCTTGAAATCCTGTTTCGTGGCCGAAAAAATGCAGGAAATAGTTCACATATTCAAACGGACACCGTTTATCAAAAATAATGTTGCTTAATAAACGGCATATAGAGATCATATCCTTTCGAATATTTTCCGGAAGGCTATTTAATAGTTTTTCTGAAAGGGATTTTGCCAACATTTCTGCACTTTGTTTGCTCAATTTATTCACTACATTTCGTACTTCTTGGTGATAACCATATGAACAGAACAACGCTAGTACAATAAGAAAAAGATAAGTGCTTCTGTCATTTGAACTGTTGTTGTAAAGTGTGTCTAGTAAATTGCCAGCAGTTTTGGATTTTCCGTTACTGAAACTTTGCACAACACATTTGATTTGTTCGATCAATTCATGGTCTTTGTATTTTTTGTGGCATTTGTCGCATGATATTATATCAATCATATGTGTGAGCACACCATCTTCAGTAATAATCTCTCTTCGCATTATGTCATTAGAAAGTTGAAATGTGTATGTTTTAAATGACTTTTTCCGGCGACGGATGTTGTACATGATTTTATATTTATGATTGGAAAGCAACTTTGCACTTACCACATATAAATTGTGTCTGTGAACCTCAAGTGCAAAGGTTTGTTTGTTCTTGTTCTGTAAGTCTTTTACTTCTAAAGTTACACATTGTGTGTCTTTTGGTGCAACAATCATGAAACAATGATCGGTCTAAAATTCATAAATTTTTAAAACGATATTTAATACATGTATAATGTTTACTCATAAAAGATTATTGCACGCGGCGTCTAGTAAATATATATTCGTTCAGCCAGCAATGGGGAAAATTTTAGTCTTGTTTTGGTTTAATTTTTTTGTTCGGAAAAAAAACAACACAGTTTTCAGATTTTCGGATAAAAATAGCTTGTTTGATGATCAACAAGTCTCCGAGCGTCATAGAATTAAATAAATGTTTAACAAAAGTGATACTTCTATGTTTAAATATAACATTCTTTTTTATCTTTTTTTATTATTTACCAATAAAATAACGTGCCAATGAGCCAGTCTATATTCTAAAGCAGGAAATTATCGAGTGAAATATCTTCGGCTATTATCAGTATCAACAGAAAGGGCCGAAAAGTTGCGGCTGAGGAAATTAGGGTAAATTCGTTTACTTTCCGTAATGCATTTTCAATCGAGTCATGCCTCCATATATTTAGGAGTCATTGTATCGACGATATATAGAACATGTTTTACAACAAACACGGTTAAGTGTAAACATGCATTTTAAAATTAATAAAAGGTGTTGAATTGAAAGCTTTAAATCTAGTGTACAAACATTTAATTATGCATCGGCCAGTCGGGGAGTATTTCTTGACACTGTAGACTAGGTGGATCTTGGTAATTGTTTTAACCACAATGGATTATTTTGCGGTGTCTTTGATGTGCAGCATCAACATTTAACTTGTATAGTTGTTGATATAATTAGAAACATACTTATTCCACTTTTCTATCACTATATATAAAATATCCTATAAAAGAAACATTCTTATGATAATATCTTATTAAAAACTGCTTCGGGTTATACTTACTAAATGCGTATTAATTTCATCATTATTCTCGTTTGTTTTAATGATTTGATTATTGCCAGAAAAAGTATCGGTCGTTGATCGTATATAAGACATTTCATGTTCGCTACTCCATTCGGTTTGGTGTCTGTAAAAATTACAGAATAATTTATGATATTCATAATATTTAAATATGTTTGGTGTTTTCCTGTAATTAAAGTTCTGTAAAAGGACAATCAATGAAATAAATTCACACCTTAATTTGGTGAACCACACTCTCCCTATCTCTCAAAAAGGTTGACCCATTTACTCATTTTCATAAAAGATTATGGAGAAAAGAAAGTAGGTGCTGAAAAAAGTTTGATTATCCAGCAACATGGCTTTTGTATAAATGTACATTTTTGTATATTGAAACATATGCTATTTAAAATCATTGGTAGTTATAAAGTAAGGACTCTGGCTTAAATCAGTTCACCAGATTGATTTGTCAATGCCATATTTCATTTCTGTAACCACAAAAATAACCAGAGTATCAAAAAGAAGAAATCATTGAAAGTTTTAATCAAACCAAATATGAACAAATAGGCCATCATGGCCCTATATTGCTTACCTGACCCATTGAACTTATCCGAGTAATTACTTAAACAGGCATCCTGACCAAGTTTGATAACAATTGAGTCAAACATGTGACCAAAAGAGCGTTAACAAGATTTTTTTCCATATTTGGGCAGTGTGACCTAGTTTTTGACGCCAGGTCAACCATATTCGAAATTGATCAAGAAATCATCAAAACAAACTTTCAGGCCAATTTTCAGGATATTTGGATAAAATCAGTAGCCATTAGGATGTTCACAAGATTTGCTTCTATTTTTATCTCCTGTGACCTATATATTTTATCCGAGATGACCCATGTTCAAACTCATCCGAGCAATGAACTAGACAAGTAACCTTACCAAGCTCGATGACAAGTGAGGCAAAACTGTAACCGCTAGAGTGTTAACAAGGTTTTTCCATATTTGGGCGATGTGACCTTATTTTTGACCCTATGTCGCCCATATTCAAACTTGACCTAAAAATTATAAAAACAAACATTCAGATTTAATTTCTGGGTTTTTGGGAAACCCAAAAACTAGAACTAAATTTTTAACCCAAGATTTTTTTCTATTTTTTAGCCCCTGTCCCCCCGGGTTTTCTTCATCATTTAAAGGCCCTTAGTTCGAAACTACGACAATTCCCTGGGGAAAAAATATTGTTTAAATTTGGGGATGTAATTGATTTCCAAAAATTTCCCAGGGGAAAAATTTTTAAAAGGGTTTTTTTCCCATTTTTGGGGGGTTAAACCAAAGTTTTTCCCCGTATTAAAATTTAAACCAAAAAATCTTAAAAAATAAACTTTCAGAATAATTTTCAGAATATTTGGATAAAAAAGTAGCCACTAGAGTATTAACAAGATTTTTTCTATTTTTTAGCTCCTGTGACCTAGATTGAGGCAAAAATGTGACCACTAGAGTGTTAACGAAAAAAATGTGGACGGACGACAGACGACGCCCGAAAAGCTCACACTGAGCTAGCTCAGGTGAGCTTAAAACATCATACGACATAAAATAACTCTGTATAATAAACAAATATGTAAAATTCTATAATAAGCACCCTTGACCTAAAGTGCGCCGCAACTCAATCCAAAAAAAGAAGATATGCAAGATATCTTCCTATCAAATATAGAAGATATTATATAAATAAAAGCTGTTTGATCAAAAATGTTTAACCATTTTTAGCACCAGTACCACTGACACAACTGACCTCTAACGCCATAAAAAGCTAGAAGACTTGTTAATTTATTTTCCTACCGAATATGAAAGTCATTTGTCAATAGACACCATTCCTGTAAAAGTGTAAAATATTTTTGGCATTGATGATCCTGATCCAAATGACCCCTAAGTAAAACCAAAGAAAGAAGACCTCCCTAGGCATTTCAGTATTAAACATGAGGATATCAATTTAAAATTAAAGGCTTAATGAGCAAAAATTTTTTTTTTTACATCAGTGACCTTGAGTGTGACCAAAGTGACATTTCTGCGAAATGAAAGAAAACCATCTGATATCTACCTACCAAATATGGAAGATATCATTGAATAAATAAAGTTATCAGGTGAACTATAATATAAATTCAACTTGCCGAACTACGTTGTCTATATTAAGTGATAAAAGGGGCAATGACTGGGAATAAATGGAATTCATAGTTATATAACAAGTCTGTATTGATTAGTTAATGTGTGAATTATGTAGCTAATGGTACAAATAGAACCTTAGATAAATCTGACTTGCCTGTTTATGTTAACCTCGTACGGCTGGCAGACAGGCAGGTAAGACATCTGCGACGAACCCGGGCCATAAAAAGATATTCAGCCTGTGGTAAAAGTTAGTTTAAAATATTTCGGCGTCTTTACAAGTAATTTTGCGTTAGTTCTTAATTCGGAAAAAATCATTATTTTTAGAAAAAGACCAATAAAAATTAAAAATTTGAACATAAAAAAAATTATCAAATTTACTTTTACGAATTAAGAATAAGTGATCACTTTTGACCGGAGTCTATTAAAAAACATTTCAGAACCCACATTTTTTTTTATGAAAATATTGTTCGCGTGCATTCTTTCATTTTTCCCATATTTTTAATATGGTACGTAGTTCAAGGGGCATTAAATTTTATCAATTTTCGGCATGTCGCTGGTGACAGGCGATTCAATGCTGCCGACTGACCTGTCATTTATCATTTTTGTGTTGAATCAAATCACAATTTTATTTAGAAGAGCGTTACCACTTTCGCAATGATAAATGTACAACTATGACCTGTGAACTTTTGTTTTGAAAGGTAACATTCCGCTAATGACTTTGAAATTCATCATAGATCATTTGAATACTTGTATTTTACCGATCACGCACTGTGAGCTTGTATTTGTCCAATTTTAAATCAAGTTTTGTTATATAGACTCTAATTATAGGCTGAAAAAGGCACGCGCGTTTTATAAGAATAATTTGTAGAAAATTGTTACAAGTGTTCGAATACCCCCGACACATGCTTGTCAGAAAACGTGCTTTTAGTTAATAATTTTGTACATGTGGAGAATGCATTAGTAAATAATTTATTTTCAAATGTTTTTGAATCATTTGTCCTACTACATCAATAAGTTTGGATTTGAAGTTCGCATGGCTTCTTTTAAGGGCAATACGTTCTTTCATCTCGAAATTCCTGCACTTCTACTTAGTGATATCTGTCTACCTACATAGTTTTATGTTGATACCGTTCATAATTCTAACAATATGTCCTATACAAAGTTCAAAGTGTAAAAATAAACAAAGGGCAATAACTCAAACATTTGGGATGAGATGGTTACGGGTCTTATTTAATCCACTTATACTTAATGAGTTTATATACCTACAAAATATTAAGTTGTTACCTTTTAAAGTTCTCATGTTATGTCCCGGAAAACGTTCAAAGTGTAAAAATAACAAAGGGTAATAACTCCAAAATAAGGCAAGTCAGAATCATGGCTCCTTTGCACTGTACTTAAAACCAATGAAATCAATCTACCTACAAAGTTTCTTGTTGATATCTCTTGTAGTTTCAGGATTATGTTTCAAAATTCAAAATTTTACCAATTCATTTTAAATGTTGAATTCTGCTTAAGCCGGTGCTAGGGGGCATGGACGGTAGTTTGCACTTTACAGTACCGTCCATAAACAGGCTCAATCAAACCGAGCCTGCAACATTTTCAATTATATTGTGTTGGACTTTCTTTAGGGATTCTTGCTTTCTCTATTTTAAAGTTATGTCCCGGGCAAGGTACCGTTCATAGTTCTAAAGATATGTCCTGGACAAAGTTCAAAGTGTAAAAAAGGGACCAAGAACTCAAAAATATGACAAAGCAGAATTAC